GCCAGCAAGGTTCACCAGTTCATCAGGAGGAGAAAGGCATTTCCCCAACACCGCCGTCATTCCAGTCGAGCAAAATGGATGAAGCCAAGCCATGTTGCTGCTGCTCGCTGAGCCAGAGGAGTCATGAATCGCGACTCAGAAGTCACCACCGCTCAACCAGAAGGAACTGCTGTAGTCCCAAAAGCAAACAATCGCTTGGCCCAGCCAGCCACCCTCCCTTACTCACATGGTCGCTCGCACCTTTCCCCATCCAGCTGGTCAACCACACATCGTTGAAATATTTTCCAGCTGCAGGCCTCTCAGGAAACCGTGCAGGGTTGCATTTTAGTCTAGACTAAAATCATTTTCCATCCACGTTCTGAAAGTGTTCCCTTGCCTAATCCATAAGGCCACCCACCGCGTCCTGCCGACTGATAAGCCAGGTCTCAGCGCCAGGACTCAGTCGCCCTCCAGCTCCAACTCTCGTATCCATCTGCCAACGCTCTGTCGTGCATAGCTGCATAGTATCTCCACTAGGTTATTCCCGGTAGGTCGCTCAGCTTGTTTCTCGTAGTAGGAATCCCGAACTCCTGCCAGCATGTCGTCAGCCAAGCCAGCCTCGAGGTTACAATCGGTCGGCGTAGGGCTGCTAGCCATCATAGCGGCCTTCCTTCTCTTCTGGCCGGGCCCCGGTGACGTTCCCCGGCGTCGCCTCGCCATCAAACCTCTGAACAAGGCGCAGATCTTCAAGAGCCCGTTCAAGGGCTTCAGCAAGGGCGTGCAGGACATGATTAACAAGCTCAAGCAGCGCGACCGCACGATGGCAAAGTTCGTCGGAAACAGCGTCGAGACGATGCCGATCAACGTGAACATGACGCAGCGCGGCGTGCTCCTTGCGCTGAAAAAGGCCTGGGGAGGGAATTTCTATCAGTCGGAAACGTGGGTGGAGTCGGCTCAGGCCGAGCTCTGGTGGGGTGTGACGATCAACGAATTCGGATCTGTTACAGCGTTGGAGTTACCACGTGCGGAGATCACCGGCCCGCTTCCGATGCTGCTGACGAAGCTCACGGGGCTGACCGCGCTGGACCTAAGGGGGAACCACCTGAGAGGAAGCATTCCCAGAGGGTTACTTGCGGCGTTACCCGGTCTGCAGTCGCTGTACCTCAGCGATAATAACCTCGTTGGCGAGTTTCCTCTTAACGAAGTTTTCAGGAAGCCGGTTGTTCCCATGACGATGTTGCAGATTGACGGTAACGTCTTCACAGGGACCATCGCCGACGACGTTTTCGCGAATGCGACGTCGCTGCAGTCGCTCGGCCTCTCCTCCAACAAGTTCTCCGGAGCGATTCCCTCCAGCCTCGGCAACTGTCGGCAAATCTCAGCCATCGATCTGAGCGACAACCAGTTCACGGGGCAGATTCCAGGAAGCATAGCTGGCCTCCCTGCACTCTCAATCTTTGACGTCGGTCAGAACAAACTTTCAGGGGTCATTCCGGATTTCTTGGGCAACTTCCCAAACATGATGAACCTCGACTTGAGCAACAACCAGTTTTACGGGGTCGTTCCAGCAACATTTTCCAAGTTCGGGCAGACATTACGGGCAGTGAAGCTGGCCAACAATTTTCTCACAGGTCAACTGCCGCAATTTCCGAACCTTGGGCAGGGCTGCGGCTCCCCGGGTCCCGATGGCTCCGACAGCATCTCGTGCTACATGTTCAGCGTTCTCCTGGACCTTTCGGGGAATTATTTTGAGGGCAGCACGCAGTTGACTATTCAGGTGCCCGGGTCGGAGGACTACCCTGGCACATCTCAAGTCTGCCCTGCCGAGTATCCTGAGAAGGTTCTTGTGGAGGGTAACTGCTTGACGACTGACGGTGTGGGGGATGCGGAGTGTACGGCGGAGGGTCAGAGGCTTCCGGAGCAGTGTAGCGCGTTCTGCGGAACCGGGACTCCAGTGGGGCAGTGTGGCGGCAATGGGGTGTGTGTTGTGGATACGTCGGTGGCAGCAACAGCCAAGCCGAAATATGTGTGCAAGTGTGAGAATGGGTTCCAGCCTCCTGCTGGTAACCCTATGACATGTGTGGCCGCTGCCTGAGAAGCTCCTCCATCCCCAGCTGTGTGTGGCGGTTGCTTGAAGACCATGGCTTGGGATGAAGAAAATACCAACTCTTGATGTTCGCTGGAAGAGATGAACGCACGCAGTGTGTTAGTGTGGAACGCCCCAACACATGCTTCTTTTGTAATGTGGTTTGTATTTTGATGTTGTACACATATTTCGTTATGACCACAGAGGTTTTGCGAATAATCAATGATGTGCGTAGTGTTATTGAATTCACTATTTGAAGGTTGGATTTTTAGCCAGAATAGCCATTTTCGAGATGTAAGAGCAAACAATAAACTGTTGTACCTCTGATGGTGTACAATTCTCATATTCCTTTTGATGTTCCGAATCGCACTTCATTGGGATAATATTGGTGCGACCAACCAAATGCTGGATCATCCCGAGGGACCATCTTCCCACTTTCCGAATCCCTGAGATTTGTTTTCGGCTCTAGTCGAGTGATTCAAGCTTCAGTTCAGCATCCTGACACAGCAACACAGCAAATGCCTTCAGGTGTGATCAAGCCAATTCCTTGTTGCTTCAGCCGTGCCTCTTGAATCACATCTTCCTTCGCTTTGAGCTGCCACCTTCAATCAAGCAGAAACATGTAAGCGGCTGTTCAGCCAATCTGTGTCCGCTCCAACACCCTAGCTCTTTTCATTCACGAACTTTTTGTTCTTCAGGTCGGAAGCCGTGGCAGAGCAAGCTCCCCACGTTGTAGATGCTGCCCAGGAATCTGAAGATGAAGAAGAAACATTCGAGTCAATTGAGAAGTGTAGGCATCCAATTATTGAGGGACTTCAGTTTGATGTAACGAGGGGTTGACGTTCTCGACAGTGATCACGCAGGGAATAAATGCTGGAGACGTTAAGAAACTTCAGGATGCTGGAGTTTACACTTGCAATGGACTGATGATGTGGACAAAGAAGGTAGCTATATTACCAGTATTACTATCTCTCTGGGAGATGGCGCTACCCTCGATACCCACCGTGCCTTTCTTCGCAGGCCCTCTGTGACATCAAGGGTCTTTCCGATGCCAAAGTCGAGAAGATTCTTGAGGCTGCGGGTAAATTAGTGGTGAGTGTCTTCACTATCCGTTACATTCGCATCTTACAACGGAAGCTTTAACCTATGGTTTGAGTCACTTTGGTTTCAGAACTGTGGCTACGTTACGGGAAACGAAGCTCTTAACCTGGTAAGGATTCATTCTCACATCCACCATAAACTTCATTAAGTTGCGTGAGCACCCTCACTCATGATCTATTACTCTCAGAGGAAACAAGTCGTAAGGATCACGACAGGAAGCCAGGCCTTGGACGATCTCCTTGGAGGTTCGCCGTCATGCATTTTATTTGTTTCTTTCCTTCTTCAGTAGGCCTCAAGATCATTGACCATGTCACATTTCCAGGTGGCGTTGAGACTATGGCCATAACTGAAGCTTTTGGTGAATTTCGGTAAGTCAATTGGTGCCCATAGAATTTATTTTGCTGCCCCACGTGGTGGTATTGAACTAACAGGTTTACACCTTCCAGGACGGGCAAGACTCAACTTGCACACACATTATGTGTGGCCACACAGGTATGCTATGTGAAAAATGACAGAAAAATATTGAGAAAAGGCAGCGTTTTCTAACTACCTGGACATACCCGCTGTGCAGTTGCCAATCAACATGAAAGGTGGCAATGGTAAAGTGGCCTTCATTGACACCGAAGGAACATTGTAAGTGATCATCCAACCAGAAGATGTTGTGATGGATGAACCAAGTTGCAAGTTATTCATACCTGTTTGTTTGTGAATCAGCCGTCCAGAGAGAATTGTTCCAATCGCCGAGAGATTTGGCTTGGATCCCAATGCGGTGCTTGACAATGTAAGCAGATTCCTTTTCAGGTCTCGTGTGTGCATGTAAGACTGTGACACTGAATCCCGTCGTAATGCAGATCATATTCGCCCGAGCTTACACGCACGAGCATCAATACCAGCTTCTCATTGCACTTGCCGCAAAAATGGCTGAAGAGCCCTTCAAGCTGCTGGTGAGAGCATCTTCGCTTCCGGCTACCGATTCATTACCACTTTTACTTTGCCCAATTTCACTGGTTTTAATTGGAAATTTATACGTCTGGACAGATCATCGACTCCATCACAGCTTTGTTCAGGGTGGACTTCACGGGGCGTGGAGAGCTCGCGGAGAGACAGGTACAATACGACTAAATGGTCCACCGTAGATGTGTTGTTTTTATCCTGACAATGTTTCATCCTTCAGCAAAAACTGGCGCAAATGCTTTCAAGAATCACAAAGATATCTGAGGAGTTTAATGTGGCCGTCTTTCTTACGAATCAAGGTACGGACGTGGTTTGAATGACTTTATGTATATTCCAGATGATCGACTCAGCGTTTCTAACTGACTTGTGTAATTGCGTCCTGAACTGGCAGTCATTGCTGACCCTGGAGGAGGGACGTTCGTTGCTGACCCCAAGAAACCTGCTGGAGGTCATGTGATGGCTCATGCATCCACCGTGCGGCTGATGTTCCGCAAGGGTAAGGGAGAGCAGCGCATATGCAAGGTCATCGACTCGCCAAACCTGCCTGAATCTGAAGCTACCTTCGCAATTGCCAACGGAGGAGTCATAGACGCTAAGGATTAGGGTGCTTTAGAAAACGGGAACAATCCAGTTGCGGCTGGGTACATACCGTATGTGGAATAATACGTATCAGGAGTTAGGACAGGATAGGAGGTTGACACATTCTCTATTATACTATGCTTGCCCTTACAGAAGGAATTGTACACAAACTCAAGCATTACAGAACAAACTATGTACACAACAAACTCAAGTGTCGGAACAAAAAATGTCCGAGCAAGCAAGAGCAAAAAATGGCAAGGCATGCTTCCTAGCAGCTAGGCCTACACGGTACACAAACACACTAGTTGCTATCACCCTCATATGGAGGTGGAGGGATTTCGAAGCCTGCCATAGCCACTCTTCTCTCTTCAACCGGCCACTGATGCTCCGTCTCAGCTGCTAGACCAATAGCTTCGACCACTCTTTGTGCCCCGTAGCTGAGTTGAGATTGCGTCTTCTCTGCTCCAGTCTGCAAGGTAGGGAACAGTGGGCACAGTGGAAGATGAAGTTCATATTTGGCATGGACAGAGGTACAGTTCAATTCTCCCAAAAGCCTGAGCTCTTACCTGGGCTGCTGAATGCAGATGTCCCCAGCATTCATGCCTGTTGTACTCCGGAATGTTTGTACCCACACCAGCGCATCCTCAAGATCTGAAAACACAAGAACAGCTTGTGTGAGATCAACCCACTCACTTGGAACAGCCATGACACGTGCTTATCAAACGCATACCTGGATGCTTATCGAAGAGTGCCCTGTCACCATGTCTGAACGCCTCCAAAACGACTGGAAGCTCCTTCCTGAAAATCCAGAATCTGAGAGCTGCAATGGCGTTCAGCAGGAAATGCCCTCCGCTGATGTGGCAGTGGACGTGGAGTGACATGTGGCAGTCTGAACCATTGCAAGCATGCTCTGGGTGAACCTCTTGCCAAGGGTCCCTCAAGTAGGGCGAACGGAAATCTGCTAGGCTGCAGTGCTGGCGCCACACTGCAAGAACCTCGTCCCTCTGCAGCCGAGAGTACCAGCCCATAAACTGCATCATGCCAAAGGAAAAAAATAAAATATAAGAGGAAAGAAACAAAATGCGTGAATTCAACGTGAATGAGTGCTGAGATGTGGGAAGGCCTGAACCTTGCGAAAGAAACGTATGATCTATACGCAATGGACTAAAGAGCAGGGGAGGATAAAGGCCACTTAATCACAGCCTGAATCGAACTCTACCTGAGATTTGTTGAATTCGTGAGCGATGGCGAGGGTGAGCCCAGCGGTTACATCCGAGTGGGTAAAAGTGTACATCCGGGGCAATGGAGCATGTGCTGGGTGCTGCTCTTCCTCTGCTCCCATGAACACCACCTGAAGCTTCTTTGACTCAAAGACCGCTGGGCCGAACAGCCTCGCCTGTGAGATTGAGGAAGTGGATTGTGGAGCTAACAGGAAGTGAGTTGCAAAAGAGTCAGAACAGGAGGTATGTGAAGCAAGACACAAAACTCTTCCAGGCCCAGCTGCATGACCTAAGTTCACACACTAGAATCTCTTCAGACGGAGGCTACTCAAAGTGAAAGACGATTCTTCTCTGCAGTACCTGAACGCGAGACTTCACAGCCGTTCCCATAGAGTTCCTGCCTCCAGCAGTCAGCCTTGCCTGTCCAGCACCAGCCATCTCCCCATCCCTGAAAGACAACCCACGGCTAGAACTCTGAGAAGAAAACGAATTATTCTTAGGAGGGAAGGACTTAGCGGAATACGGAGTGGCTACGCGCTTCTGACTCATGGTAGGTCCTGCGAGATGATTCCTGCTACCGCCAAGGAATTGAACCTTGGACGGAACAGGAGCCAAACCCAAGCTAGCCATGACGTCACTAGTGATAGTTCTCTTTCTGTGACGGACAAGGGAGGTTGTACCGCTGCTATTGCGAGGGAGCGAGAACGGTCGCTGAGAAACTGTTGCTGCTCAGGCGTTGTCCGCTCGTTCGTTCGTTGAAAGAGAGAGCATCGACTTATGCAGAGGGGTTAGACGACAAGAGGAACTCGAGCTCCAGATGACTGTGCTAATGGTTCCCGCAGCTGCTTTTCTATGCTGCTTCCGCTTCCGCTTCTTGATTCGACCGCGGGGCTCGCGTCGACGCCACAAGCAGCGAATCAAATTTCCGCTCGACTCCATCGGGACGCACGAAGATTTCAGCATGCGCACTTTCTAGGCTCAACACATGGCGAGTCGCGACGGAATAGAGCCAGATGTCAGAGAGCATAACTGTTCACCAGCTCACCACCTCATCACTTCAACAGCTACACCAGCTCCCTCCGGCTTGTTATACTGAGAGAGCCGAGCAGGCTATAGCACCGACGTGGCGCGTGCTGGGGGTGTAATGGACGGGCACTAGCATGTCGCTAAAGTGCGCGTTAATAGCGAGGCGGGAAGGGCCGACACAAGCTCGCCACGTCAATAGCATCACCTGCTGCGCTGGAGCCTATTTGCAGTTTCACATGTACTCACTACGAGTGTACTCTAATAAAGAATCTTAGCATGATTCATGTAACAATATTTGAAGCCGTTATTCCAGATTGAAGACAACTTGTTACGAGTGCAATTGAGTGAACGAGCGAGGATTGCACTATCGAGACAAGATACAATGAGCAAAAGATTGAGTGAAAAATATACAGCGAAGCTACGGTGGTAACGGTAACGTGGGAAATTGGGGTGCGCGACGGGCCTGGTGCCGAGGTTGGGGACTGTCGAGGCGGAGGTCCGGAGCGCGGGTTACCAACCGAACCGTGTGGTTGGGTCGCATCGTGAACAGTGGCGGGAATGGTGTCGAGGCGAATGTCGCGAGTGGTAACGGAATATTGTGGGGTGCTGTCAGTGGTGAACGAGCTGAGCAGGGACGCGAAGTAAGGAAAAGGAATTTTCCTTACACTACCCCCCCCCCTCAAGGAGGCCTCCCTTACGAGAGCGCGTGTATATCTCGGAAATTTCGGCTGCGCAGGTACTCGTTGAGGACGGGGTGGTTTTCGATTTTGTCCAGTGGAACCCAATTGTCCTCGGTGGTCGTGCGGTCTCTCCAGCGGATGAGAAATTCAACCCTTCGGGCTCCTCGTGGGTCACGAACTCGGTGGCTAAGAATCTTTTCGGGCGTGATGACTAGCTCGGTCGGTGGTCGTGTCATGCTGGCTGGGCGATTTCGGGCCAGCTGGCTGGTGGATGGAATGTAGGGGCGAAGCAGGCTGACGTGGAAGGAGGGGCTGACGTACCAGTCAGCGGGGAGGAGGAGGTGGGCGGTGACCGTGTGATCATGTGGCTGATGCGAAATGGCCCGCAATATCGGGGGCGGAGTTTCGGGGTTATGGGCAGGCGGAGGTTTTGGGTGTCGAGTAGAACTAAGTCGTCGACGGGTTGTCGGGATTCGGGGTCATGGGTACTGTACGGTCTTGTCCGTAGTTCAGGTAAAATGGTGACTGTTGGGTCGTGGCAGATGGCGAGTTATTGTACGCGAATTCGATTAGTGGCGGTTGCTGTTCCCAGGTGGTGGGGTCGTCGCACGTGGCTCGGATTAACTGTTCCATGGTCTGGTTTGTCCGTTCTGTCTGTCCGTCGGTTTCGGGGTGGTACGAAGAACTGAACTGCAGCCTCGTGCCGAAATGCTGCCACAGGTTCCGCCAGAAATTGCTGGTAAATTTCGTGTCGCGGTCGCTGATGATCGCTGCTGGTATCCCGTGTAATCGAACAATGGTTGCGATGAAGAGGCGGGCCGTTTCTTCGGCTGTGGTTGATTTTTTGCATGCTGCGAAGTGTGCCATTTTCGTCAATCGATCGACGACGACCAGGATCGCGTCGTTCCCACTTGCACCGGCCGGTAACCCCGTGATGAAGTCCATTGTCACCTGCTGCCAAGCACGCTCTGGGGGTGGTATCGGCTGCAACTGCCCTGCCGGTCGCTTCCGTGATGATTTCATGACTTGGCAGGTGGGACACGATGCCACGTGTCGTTGCACGTCGGTCAACATTTCGGGCCAGTAGTAGTACCGCTGCAGCTGCTGCCGTGTTTTTTCTACTCCGAAATGTCCGGAGGTGACCCCGTTGTGTGCCTCCTGCAACAGTAATTCCCGTAGGAGTGTGTAGCCCGGTACCCAGATTCGATCGGTGCCGGCTTTTACGTAATAGACCCCCCTTGCTGCCGCAAACTGCTGCGAATTTCCGCCTGTAAAAAATGGGTCGGTCTGATAACCGTGGGTAAATAGGCCTGTCAGCAGTGGGCTGGTCTGGGCGAGTAGTATGGCGTGGACTTGGGCTGTGGGCCGGGTTAATGCGTCGGCGATATTTGATGCCCCCTTTTTGTAGGTGACCGTGTAGTGAAAATTCGACTCGAGGTAGTCGAGCCAGCGGATTTGTCGTGGGTTGAGGTGGGGTTGCGCGCGGAGGTACTGTAGAGATTTGTGGTCTGTCCGTACTGTCACGTCGGCGCCGATCAAGTAACAGCGCCACACTTTGAAAGCATGCACGATCGCAAGCATTTCAAAAAGAGCCGTGCTGTTCGCAATTGATCTATCAGTTCGTCGGCGCGGGGGATGGGGTATCGCGATTTTACTATAACCCTGTTCAGTGCTCTGTAGTCGATGCACATGCGAAATCCTCCGTCCTTTTTCGGTGTGAACAGGATCGGTGCGGCGAATGGGGATGAGCTCGATCGGATGAATTTCTTATCTAACGGGTAATCTAACTGCTTCCGTAACTCGTCGAGCTCGGGCTGTGTCAGTCTGAACTGTCGCTGTACGGTTGGCTGTGCCCCGGGCTCTAATGTTCTTCGGTGATCATGCGCTCGCTGAGGTGACAGACCCTCCTGTGAGAGAATTGAGGAATGAATGAACTAGAAATGAGATGGGTACAAGTAGGAAACACAAAAGTGTTGTACCCTCTAAGGACTACCCTACTACAGCCTAAACAAACTATAGCAAGTATAAGTTTGACACACCCCCATAGGCAAAGTGGGGGAGAACAAGAGGTCACAAGACCAGTCAAGAAAGGCAAAGCAAGCTCAGGGTGGATCACAAAGTCACCACGCAGTCTGAGCACAAGCAAATGGCCACAAGGCCAGTTCACATGCAGTGTTATATAAAGGAGAACAAACAATACAGTAAATACAACCTAGCAAGAGTAAGCATGCAGGTATATGTATAAAGAGTACAGTATAGGCAGAGTCAAGAAGAAAGCAAGTGAGGCACAGTAGGTACAAGGCCTAACACAGTACAGAAACGCTGATGATCACAAGGCTGAAGTGCCTTGGTGAAAACATCAGCAGTGTTGGCCTGAGAGGCCACGTAAGCAAGACGAAGCTGGCCACGCTGCTGCAACTCTCGAGCAAGGAAGTAGCGCAGAGCAATGTGCTTCGTTCTGTGCTCCAGTCTGTGCTCCTGACACAAGGCCAGCATGGCCTTGTTGTCGACGTACAGAACTGGAGGAGAACGAGGCGCCTCTCCCAAGTCGGTCAGCAGGTAGGTAAGCCAGCGTAGCTCTTGTGCAGCCATGGCCCCAGCGTAGATCTCAGCCTCACAACTGGAGCTGAGAACAGAAGAAGAGCGGGTAGACCGCCAAGAGACAGAACCGGAGCCAAGACTGAAGGTGTAACCCTGTGACGACCGCTGCATAGCCAAGTCGTCAACCCAGAAGGCGTCAGCGTGACCAGTGAGGACAACTCGAGCCCGTCCTCCAAGCACGAGCCCCATGCCCGATGTACTGCACAAGTATCGCAACACCCTCTTCGCAGCATCCCAGTGCACCTTTCGGTGCCTGCCGGGAGCCACATAGCGAGCCAGAAGGCTGAGAGGGTATGCGAGGTCAGGTCGTGTGCAAGTCATCAGGTACATGAGGCAGCCCACAAGCTCTGGATACGGGCCACTCGGCTCTACGGACTCGTCCGAAGGTGGAGCTGAGAGCGAGTGACCGGTAGGCAGAGGAGTGGACTGTGGCGAGGAGTACGTGAAGCCGAAGCGCTGAAGGACCTGCTGCACCATGTGTGACTGAGTCAAGGTAATGGTGCGCTGTGCTCTATCCCGGGTGATCCGCAAGCCAAGATAGCTTGTCAGCTCACCCACGTCTGTGCACGTGTGTCTCTTCTGCAGCTCGGACTTCACGTGGGCGAGTGCCTCAGTGTCAGCAGTAGCAAAGACAAGGTCGTCTACGTACACGAGAGCGTAGAACGGCGGCAGAGTAGTGTCAGTGCGTAAGAACAGAGAAGGGTCAGCAGTGGAAGGAGCAAAACCAAGAGAAGCAAGAGTCGTCCTGAGCGTGTCGTGCCACTCACGAGGTGCCTGGCAGAGACCGTAGACTGGCCGCCGGAGGCTCCACTCGGTACCAGCAGGAAACGACCCAGTGAAGCCAGGTGGGCGGCGCAGCCAGATCTCCTCGTGCAGGCTGCCCTGTAGGAAGGCTGTGCTGAAGTCAAGCGAGTGGAGCTTGTAGTCACGCTGAGCAGCAACGTGCAGCAGTACCCGAAGAGTGGTCATCTTCGGGGTAGGGGAGAAGGTCTGAAAGAAGTCAACTCCTTGTCGCTGGCTGAAGCCACGTGCAACGTAACGCGCCTTGAAGGCAGGCGGAGAACCCGGCGGCCGCTTCACCCTAAAGATCCACATGCCACTGACGATGTTCGCCCCAGGTGGGGGAAACTCGTCTACATAGGTGCCTGTGGACTTCCAGGAAGCCATCTCGGCGTCCATGGCTGCCTGCCACTGAGAGGAGTAGGGACCCTCTATCGCCTCTGCGTAAGAGCGCGTGGTCAGGATGTCTAGTGCATCCGGGTCTCCCTCAGGGGCAAGCAGCATGGACACGAGATGAGGTGAAGCAGTGGCAAAGCACTCAAAGTCCTACTGCCTGTCCTCAAGGACGTCCGTGCTAAGAGCACACTCACCCCCGACGGACGGAGGACAGACAGACGCAGACGCAGACTCAGCAACAAGACTAGTGGCGTAGTCTAGGCGACAGGCTGCAGCAAAGTCAACGAGCTCAGTAACAAGAGCAGACGCAGCAGTGGACTCAAACAAAGGGTCAGTGACAGCAGTGGCCAGAAAGCGCGTGACCGCCGGACGAGCAGCACGAAGGGAGTCAGACTCCGGGTCCGGACCGACAGGAAGAGAGGACGCAGGAGGAGACGGCAGAGGGACACGCTGCAG